GAAGTCGGTTGACTTCTCGAAGTAAACCAGCGCGCTGATGCCGGCTCGGCGGCGATGCCGAGCGTGGCCTGGCTCCAGCTGCCCGGCGTTGCGGTTGTGGGGCCGGATGAGGGTGGCCCCATAGAAGCGGTCCTTAAGCAGGGACCCCACCAGGCGAAACTCGGGCGTCACCTGCCAGCACGTCTTCAGCTGGCAGCTCCCCGAGGTGCCGTGGCATTTGCACTTTCTCCTCATGTTGTCCATCACCACCTGGGCGGAGAGGAAAGGACAGAGAGGTTAGCATGGAGGAGATGTTTTTTGGGGACCAGGCAAGCCATCATAGAGCTCTCTGTGGGTTGGCACTATGGGAACACCAAGGGCTGGGGCGTCACCTGCCAGCACGTCTTCAGCTGGCAGCTCCCCGAGGTGCCGTGGCATTTGCACTTTCTCCTCATGTTGTCCATCACCACCTGGGCGGAGAGGAAAGGACAGAGAGGTTAGCATGGAGGAGATGTTTTTTGGGGACCAGGCAAGCCATCATAGAGCTCTCTGTGGGTTGGCACTATGGGAACACCAAGGGCTGGTGCAAGCAGCCATCAGAGCCCTGGAGCTGCAAAGTCAGTGAGGTTTCACCCTGTTGTTGTGCCCAGTGTCACCCATGGCCCACACGCTGTCCCTTCCCATCTTGGCAGTACCAACTGGCTTTTCCACTCCAGCAAGGGATCGGCACCAAAAGGAGAGGGTGAGCTGTCTGACCACAGGGAGGAGAAGGAGCCTGGATCTCACCTTCCACTGCTTCTTGACTCCAGCAGCTTCAATCTGACTCCTGACCCCAGTTAACAGACAGCGTGGCTGCATCTTTGCAGTCCTGCGAGGACCCCCCAGGGATCCCCCATGCACCTCACCGACCAGGAGCACCGCAAGTGGGGCAGGTAGGAGGGATGCTTTCCCCTCCCCAGGGCTTTCTTCTGGCAAAGCCCCAGCTCCAGGAGTCGTGGGAGCAGCTCTGCTCTCAGCTCTTGCCTTTCTCACGGGAGCCCTGGGTGCAGCGCCGGAGGGCTGAGGCGCTGCCTCCCACCATCACCCGAATGCCAAGCAGGGACTGGAGGTGCTCGCAGCCCTGAGTCGTGGTCTGGGGAGGCTGCAGTGAGGCCGGTGCCACACGTCCAACCCCCCCGAGGGCCAGGGTGCATGGGTTGGGCTGCG